GACGTTTCAAATTGCAGGCGAACCCATACTATTATTATATACTCATGGAAAATATGCATGAAAATTTATACATAAGCAAATTCATCAAAACCATGTGAAATGAAAAATTTCCTCACTCATTTGAATATGGAACAACATGCACACTTCAAAATATACAAATTAGTTCAAACGTGCATTTCCTTTTTTTTCCAATTTCTAAATTTGCATATATGCATACGCATGCACCAGATTGAATATATACATGCATACACAAACACAATAGAGTACAGTATATCTAATTTAACATGGTCTCAAACTGTGCCTGATTCGAGTACCACTTAAACGACTTAGTACCACTCATACTTACAATTCACAATTAATTCAATTGTTGTTTCGTTCTTTGCCTTCTCTTGACTTTTGGCTTCACATCTGTGTGTCCCATTGTCGTCTTTATCCACATTAGGAAGACGCAAAATGCCTATTTCCTTTCCTGTGACAATCGGTACGCTTCCTTTGTACCAGGTAACGTTCGCAAGTGGGTTGCCGCCTTGTCCTTTACATTCGCATGCAAAGTAATCACTTTGACGCAATGTGATGTAACTGGAACTGTTGGCGTTACTGAAATGTAATAAACACATGCAAAGTTTTATTAATATCCAGTCATACAACATCTCTAATTGTGATAAAAGCGACGGTTACAATATGCCTTTGCCATTCCAATGAGCAAATTTGCGGCGTTTACACATTGTCCACTGGCTTAGAATAAAATAATATTAGTTAATGTCTAACGCAAGCAGGGACTCCGACAGAGTTCGCGAGGCCCGGGGCAAATTATTCTTAAGGGGACGTCATTATTCTTAAGCTAGACCCAAATCAGTCACCCAACTAGACCTTAACTAGATTGCAAGGGGCCCTCGGTTTCAAAAATGCTCTGACCAGTTTAATGAACCTACTCTCTCTCAAGTCGGGGACCTATTAAGGTGGGGCCCGGGTAATTTGCCCTCGCCCCCACTCTAAGCGGCCCTTAACGCATGTGCTCAAATTTTACAAAATTGTTGGGAGGAAGAAAAGTAGGTTAAATAGCACTTACTTGCAACAAAAACTGCAACAATAGATGCATGTAAATTAGCGTCTATTGTTGTGCGAACAGTAAATCTGTATGTTCCATTAAAACGTCCATCAAAGTTTTTCAAAATTAATGTTGAAGGCCTTTTTACTTCAATCTTTGCAGTAGAGAAGCTGTTATTATATATTATCACAACCCCAACCCGAATGATTTCAGCAAGTAAGTTGTTTCCTGTAAGGAACGCCCACTCTCGACCTCTTAATTGTGAGCGTTGAATGCCACTGATGGTCCACGTTATTTCCATATCTTCTCCTGGCACCGCAACAAAGGTGTCGTCACGAGGTATGACGGTGACTTGACCTATATAAGGAAAGATATGTTCAATACATTTCTGTTAAATAATCTAAATGTTAAGAATATTTATTTCACGAGCAATTTCTTTCCCTGCATAGGTGCTTTTCGCATTGCCATTATATTTTGGCCAGTGAGTCGTTCATGAAAAGTTAGATATATATTCAGTCAAATGAAAGTGAAAAATTGAAATTTCCTAACAGGGTAGAGATTTAAATACCGCGTACGTACGTCCATGATTTATAATTCAGGAAAATGTAGTAAATCACAAATTTCTAAAAACATGATATTAATAATAAATTGGCTCACAAAGGTTAGGAGGGAGATTATAGACACGGGGCGATAAAAGGACGAAAAATACATCAACAAAATAATATCGTGTATATTCAGTTATACTCTATGAGCCAGCTGAGTGCGGAAATAATTTAAGTTGCATGCTTGCATCATAGACATATGTCTTCTGGATTGTCTATGCTTGCATTCAGCAAGCTTGGCTTGTGCGTATATCAAAGAACGGTGATACCTTATTATCGCAGGGAAAATAACTGTTCCGTCTAGTTTAATAGCCCTTACCTCCACAAGGGCTGAATAACAAAAAATTGAGACCAAATGAAACGGCAAAAATTAAGCCAGTCATTTTGTGGAATTAATCTATATATGAAACAAAGAATATATTAGTTACTTCCAATTGGACATTATAGCTTTCTCCTGTACTTCGAGAGATTCTCTCCAGGTCCTTTTGCCAAAATGCATACATTGACAAGCTTATACGGCACCATAGCTCCTACTTCGCAGTAGACCCCAAAACAATTACGTTGGACTATAACATCTCACGAACTTATGATGAGGCGTGATTAGAAATATTTCATGATTTATTGGAACTGGATTTAGAATGTTACTAAATTAGATATATACGTACGTAACTTTTCAACTCGGTGTATTTGAAATTTAACAAAGACACTTAAAGACACTTTATCGTCTTTCATACACTCAATATAACCGCGCTCAAAAGAAGTTTTTATATATCTACTGATTTGTGGCGGGACATTAATTCTCTTATATAACTTTATATCCTTCCAAACTACTTCCGAACAACATTCCACAGAAATGCAGACGGAAGTTCTGTCCAGAAAATAATAATATTATATAAAAACACAATAAACAAAAGCAATCACGCGAAAGATCCGAAGATTTATATATGGACATATCGCTTTAGGCCTTACTTTAAGTACTATTTAAAAAACGAGCAGGAGTGTTTTATTAGGTTTAATGGAACAATTGCTCTCCTGCCAGCTGACTGAGCTAAGAATTAAGAATAGACACATACAGCTTTTGTGTGGGAGAATGGGTTATGGGGGTGAAGTACTCCTGTTACAATAAGTGTCACATTATATGTATATTTAACCCAATAGACTCTTTATGGCCTTATATTTCAGCCTGCGGGGTATGTATAAGGCCCGCTCTGATACCCTAGGGGTAATGGTCCCTAGGGCTGCCCTGGGGGTAAGGGTCCCCAAAGCACATGCCAGAAGGGTAGCGACCCCCTCTGACCTTATTAACCTGAACCAAGGGGTAAGGGTCCCTTGGACAGTTCCTATAACTCGGCCGATTATATTTACATTGAATGAGTCTATGGGCATGAAGGTGACCTTTGGGAGCACTTCAACCCCAAACCATTAAATATTTTATTGCAATAACTTCAATAATTGATAACAACAATTATTAATGCTCTACTGTTTTTGATCAATATATATTTATATATATAATATGATATAATACATCATGCCCGTGACAGTGTACTCCAGTGATGGTGTTATCTCCAATAATTGTGTTCTCCTTTGGTAGCGATTTCCAGTAATAGTGATCTCCAATAATGTTCTTCCATGATAGTGTTCACTATAGGTGTTTTCTGTAATCCCTTAGGAGAAGCGGTGGGTGGGTGGGAAAATGTTACAGTAGCTTTGGAACATTACTTTGTTAAGACTTTGAAACAAGTGATCTCTTTCAGGTGTATTTGGTCTATTTTACCGGCTTAACCGAATTATGATTGGTTACATGTTTTGATGCCATCAAAGATATATTTCGATTGGCTGGAAGATAATTGGTCATGAGATGTGCACGTGTACGCTTTGCCAATACAAAGATGACCTTTGATACAAATGACAGCAGCGGGTCTGTGACCTTTGTACCGCACGCAAAATATTCAAATCGATTGTCATATAAATTAGACTAAATTTGTGGACAGCATTGCCCATTAACTTAAATTTTATAATATATATAAATTAGCTTTAAAGCCACGAGCGCGCAGCGCGAGTGGCTTTAGATCTAATAAAACACGACCTGCGAGTTTTTTAAATGGCTTCAAAAACATTTGCATAATAAG